GATTCTTTAAACTCAGACTCGAGTAAGAAGTGGAACAGAGCACTTGTTGGTTACTACCCTTGTGCCATGATGTTGATCCGTTGTTTTAACCTTAACAGGACAGAAGGCTTGGCACAGATATGAAAACAACGCCACATTGTCTATAAGAAAGTTCGTACTCTTCTACACAGTGGAAAGGAAGTAGAACAAACAAACCTCCCCAAGTCGAAGAGCTCTGTGAGAACAACAATTCCAACAGTAAACATCAATGGAGTTCGGCGTGTTTCAGTCGTCCGTCTAACGGCATTGCAAATGGGACGCATTACAGACATATAAATTAGGAAAATAACAAACGATACATGTGTTTATTTTAGTGATTGTAAGTTTGATTTTAATTGAAATAAAAGTAAGAGATATTTCTCTGTTAGCTGTCGGTGTCCTGTCTGAATTGTTGAAAATTGATTGATGAATTTGATGCCTGGCTGTACTGTGGTGATACTGAATGAATGTATCTGTCATTCATATCAGTATCAGATCTGTGATATGATGCGGCGTATGAGCTGTATGATGCCGCATTATCAATTATCTGCCTGCTTCTCCATTTCTTGTAGTCTTTTCTTTTCACTTTCCTCATTTTTAAATTTATTCCACCCCTCCCCCCCCCCACTAAAATAATTGGCTGTCCTCCGAATAACGGTCCTAAATTATCGAGGAAGAAAATATACCCTAACAGGGCCCCAGTCACGTGTCAATTGCGCACTTCCGGGGACTATAACGGCTCCGCCGAATTGCAAACTTCCTTGGACTTCCGCCACCGCCGATTGTATACCCCCACGCCGCTCACGCGTGATAAATCAGTCATTTGTAAATTGTGGACCTCTTTCCGGTGACTATACTGCATACCATGGAAAAGCTTCCGCCGAGTTAAAGTCACCAGCGAGAGTTTCCCCTAAACTTAAACTAGATGGTGTAACGTGCGGTCCTTCATTGTGACGTGCAGAGCTTCATTGTGACGAGTGTAAAAGTGACTAGGGGTGTCGCAATGTAACAAATGGCATCAACACTTAACATGCCACTGGCCAAGAGTAACACAACATAATGAATGCTGAAGCTTCCAACGTAGCGGAACGAGAACTCTCTTTAAAAGTTCCATTTGTGTATTGACAAATGCAATGATCAACACAAGAATACGTATGCAATCAATAATCAACTCGTTCAAGCAAAGCTCACTCCTACATCCATGTATTGATATGTCCTCACGATAGGTCGCAGTCCGACCTTGAGATCCAGACGATCATCTTTGTCCTCGGGCAAGTCCAAATTAAGCAATGAAAGTATACCGGCTTACTGCCGAGAATGTAGTATTCACCAGCTTCCTGCTGAGGTCTATCTTGGAATCCCGGGGTAAAACGTCCTCAAGGATCCACACGTCCGTCTCCTTCGGACTATAAACATCGACTGCCTTTGACAACAATCCTTTACAACGTTACGTATTGTTTTGACGTCTTATTTGCTCACTCCGTACTGGTGCGTTCTGGTGCACATTCGCACGCGACAGATGGGTGGGACTCACGAGCTGCAGCTACCACATCTCCTGCAGCTTCCTCCATTTTATTTGCTTGTGAGTCCCAGCCATCCAGTTTAGCCCCCATCTGCGGCGCTGGGGATACTCTCGGCGGTGGCGGTAAAGTCGCTCTAAAGAGGTCCGCAATTTACATGTGACTGAGGCCCTGTTAGGAAAATCTTAGCCTCAATAATTTGGGACCATTATTCAGAGGATAGCCCACTTATACAGTACGTACCTAACTCTGTGTCCCATAGGTGTTTAGCATCAAAGGCCCAAGAGCTGGTAGTGCAGTTTTGTTTAATTAACACATTAAATAAAACACAGCTATCCTCTGAAAAACGGTCCCAAATTATTGAGGCTGAAAATATACCCTAACAGGGCCTCAGTCGCATGCCTATTGCAGACATCTGGCGACTTAAATTGCGCACTTGCAGTGACTTCTAGTTTAGCCCCAATCCACACCGCACATAGCACCCGGGAGTCTGCAATTCGGCGGTGGCGATATAGTCCCCGGAAATCCGCAATTGACATGAGACTGAGGCCCTGTTAGGGTAAATTTTTGGCCTTGATAATTTAGGAGGATAGCCAAACATACTATACTTATTCAGCTTCTGTTCAAAATACACGTATTATACATCAAAGTGACCATTGGTTGTTGAGGAGTAGTACAATATTAGAGTACTGCTACAAAAAATAACTGTTATTAGTTAAATAAAAAGACAATTTGTTTGGAAAAGTTGGTAAAATTAAATTATTTTTCTACTTACTACCACAGCGTTCAAGGAAAACTCGATAAAATATATCCAAAATAAATCACAAATGAACATAAACTAATTAGTAATGTATAAGTAAAATATAAACTAAATCTCCACTTTAGATCTTGTTCTAGAGAAACTTTTAGAGCATCATAACTTGAAGTTAAACTTCTTCTTTAAAGTCCATGCCATGTGACGTTGGTAGTCATGACTATCCACAACCTTCTGTCGCATGTAATTTTAGTCAACTTCAATACAGATAATTCTCCATGCTATGATGTCAGACTGTCCAGCATCTGTTCCCTCAGTCTCTCTCTGCCTCTCCTCCACTCCAACTTTCCTACTGTCATAATGTACTCCAGAATTCTCCTTCTCATCACATGACCAAAGAATGTAGATTGTCTCTGTCTGATGTGTGCAGTCAGTTTTTGCGTGAGTCAGTTTCTTTCAAGAGGTCTTCACTGCTTTTTTAATCTATCCATTTTTTTCTCGTCATTCATCTGTAAAACTATATCCATGCAGCTTCCAAATACGTTTTCACTAATTTACCAACTGTCCATGATTCCCTTCCATATATCAAGATAGGATTTATATAGGTTTTAAGAATTCATTTTCTCTTCTCAGTTGGCAAAGAAAGATTGCATAATAAAATGTTCTGCATTTTGCTTGAGCTATTTGACATTTAACTTCTTTAATACATCTTCCATCTGGTGTTATCAGAGTACCCAAGTTCTTAAACATATCCACTTGCTTGAGGTTTGTCCCATTTACTTTGATATTGCATTTTGGAGGTTCAGTTTTCTTTGTAATTACCATTACCTCTGTTTTATTCCTGTTCAAACTAAGACTCTTGTTTTCACTTTCCGTTAGAATTATATTTATCATTTCTTGCATTTTTTTTCATTTTTAGCAATCACAACTATATGGTCAACATATTGCATGTTAACAGTATGCCCACCAACCGACATTCCTGGCATTCCTATATGGATCTAATTATTATTTCACTGTTCAAATTGAATAAATCAGGTGATAGTTCGCATCCTTGTTTAACGCCTTGTTTAATGTTTTGAAAAGTTCCAACTTGGTTGTCAATCCTTATGGCTGCTTCTTATTGCCAATATGTTTTTTGCATCATAACAGAGCACCATTATTTATAAAAAAGAATTGACTTCCCCCAAAAATTAGTATCTTCACCCAAAACAAAATGTAACACTCAGTTTGCCTGTAATTTTATAGCTATGTTCCTAAATAACAAAGTGAAAAGTACTAGAACTTATCGACACTGAAGAAAATCGCCTTTTCACTAATATTTATTCTCTTTGTACTAGCTGATTTTGTTATCGTTGTACACTTGGCATGAGGTAGATGACAGTTTGACTATAAATAACTGAAACAAGTCGGTTTCACAACTTTCTCCATCTAACTTCAAATAAATCTGATAAACATGTTTTTTTTTTTAAATTTGAGGCTTTTAAAACCATAATCCGTGCTGGCATGCATGTAAAATACTGCTAAGTGGCCATATTGTTTTCAAACTCTTATTAACATGTTAAACCTCACAGACATACTATATTTTATACTTTTAACCACATTTCTAAATAATACGTGTGCTATCAAACAAAAAGAACTGGAAAGGAAATTTCTGTTGTGCAGTTTGCGTTTTTACATGTCAGTGGTAAGTTAAAAACCTGTACGTTTTCTGCGCCGATTAGTCGGCTGGGAAGTAACCACTTAGCACGGGCTGCATTCCTGTAAAGAGTTTATCAGGAGATGGGATAATTTGTTAGCTTCTGTTAAACTTGAGTGATATGACTGACTGACTGACTTTCTACCCCACCAGGACATCACACAAGCGATAAACACCCGATGACACAAAGTGCCACCATGCGGATGAGGATCACCATGGAGAGGTCCCAGAAACCACGTTCAGACAGTTGGCCATATTGATGGCCTGCCTATATTGCGGCCCCTGGCAAAAGCCAGAGCGGGGCTTCAAATAACAAAAAATTATGTCCTAAGAAGGACGTAAGGAATATTGAGTGATATTAGTATCTTAAGTCAGTCTAAGTCTAGAGCTGGTAAAAGTAATATGTTATTTTTTGTTTATACAGTGTGGGTTTGTCCTTGTTGATAGCACCAGCTTCTGCCAGTTTTTGTAATCATCAATTTTATGTGTGGTAAATAACTTTGAAGATCCAATCTCTGTCAGTTACGAGCCGAGTCTAATAGTTAGTGCACATTGTCAACGCAGTTTTATCTAAAATCCTTGAGGTATGGCTCTTGGTAATTCACTGGCTATATATATTCTCAAGCTCATGTGTCTCTTCATTTTACTGGCAAGACATCAGCGTGGCTGCTTCGGGATATGTCAGTTAAGTCATTTTGTATATTCGGTGTGGTTTTGTTTGATGTATGTGCTGATGAAGGCTCTATAGCCGCAACGTTCACGTTTAGTTTGTGTTTGTTATATTGTGAAGCTCGCTGATCTACTTCTAGTTTGATTTTATAATTCTATTAAACTGTACTATAAAAATATGGATCTAGCTCAGTTTTCCAGTGGCGTGAGAATGGTCTTTTACTGGCGCTGATCCGTGTACTTAAGGAGCAGATAATTACCATTCTAGGTATCATGTACATATGTCCTCATAAAATTTATTTCATTTTTTTTTTCAGAGTGAAAGCTTGACAGAGCTACAGTAATGGCTAGCTTCGATTTAGACGAAGACATTCATAGACTAGAAGGCACTAGCGGGAATGAATCTGGTGGACTTGTCATAATGAAAAAGGGACCCTCGGGTGATGATGGAGCAAGTCACGCGTTTAAGAAACCCGATGTGCCAAGGGTGTCCTTACTAGGGTTAGACAAACTGAGTGCTGCAAAGAGAGAGTTGCAAAGTGAAGCGGCAGACCTCACTCCAAAACGATCTAAGGTGATTTCATATAGAAATGATGAGGAAGATGATGTGGAGGAGGAGGATGAGGATAAATACAGCAGGAAGAAATACAGAGATAAAGAGAGGTAAGAGCAAATGACACCGAATGTTTCAAGGGAGTCAGATCCCCGTTTGAGTTCTGGGAGCCCAATTATAGGGAAAACAAGAATAGACCCACTGCCTACCCAAAAGCATGTCGTAAGAGTCGACTAATTGGAAGCTTCCTTCAAAATTGGAGTGCATCTGCCTGAGAGGCAAGGAACCAGCAGTCTGCCATACAAATGAGTCAGATCTGTAAAATGGATGCACACGCAACACTCAGGTTCTGGAACAGGACTGCAGTCCAAAAGTTGATGAACCACCAGAACTTTCCGCCAGAGTTTACAGCTGGTGAATGTGAAGAAGAAAAGAAGAAGGGAGTCAGAGAATAGTTAGACCAAAACCTACCATGTTTCTTGCAAAAGGGGACTGTAAGAATTGGTCTTTAACATTGCTATCTCATCCTGCTGATTTAAAATATGGCAGATGGGGGAGGGGTACCTTAGGCAACATTGCATATGCAATTGCTGATTCGTTGTTGCTGCTTCCATTGACAGTCAATTGCAATTCTAGTGGTAAACTTTTTGTTTGTGCTATTAGTTTTGCAGAGACTGCTGTCTGTTTCAATTTGTTCATAAGGACAACAGTGAGCATTCTGTGTGGTTTTGTTTTTGGCAAAGGAACGAATCCTTGTTAGGGTGACTTGTTCCCTATAAAGTTGGAACTGCAACTAACTAACTAACCTTATCCATAGAGCTCTTTGTGTGTTCTGAAGCCTCATTTTGGGATTTAAAAAAATCGACCCACTTAACAGACATGTTTTAAATTAGGGGTTGATACAATTATTGTTGTGGGCTGATATCACAGCCAAGCTGTAATCGCAACACAAGGTGCCCACCACCTTTTAAAGGGAGATCACAGAATTAGAAGAAGAAACAAAAAGAAGTATAAGTGAAGCGTTACCATTTCACAATGGCAGTATCTATCTTTGTGTTAACTAATTCAATATCAATTAGACTTTTCGGTTCTTTCTTATTAGCCGACCACTGATGACGTCACGGGACAGTCAGGTATTTTAGAGGGTGGTAAAAGCGGGTTTTCTGTTTCTTCCAAGGCCAAGGTTTTTGTGTGTTTTTTCCAGCATCAGCGTCCATCTAGCAGCTTGTGTTCAGTCTTCACCATGAATTTCCTTGAATTAGTAGTATCGGTAGATGAGACGCAGCGCAGCATTGCTTTCCTGCAACATCATGGCATTCTGCATCACCAGAACAATAGTCTGTCGTCTCTGCTGCCGCCGAACCAGTTGTGGCATTCCAACATCTCTTCAGATCTACTAACGTATAAAATTGTTCGGATTGTGAGTGCTTTGAACAAACCCAAAACATCCAGAACTGGTCCTGACCTCAACCCACCCACATCCAACGAGAAAGTGCAGCCTAGGTTCCATGACTGCCTGCAACCTAGGTTGAAAACTATCTTAATCTACCCTCCACCACTCCCCCCTTTAGCCTGAAATATTGTACTGTCCCGTGACTTGTGGATTTCCCATGTGGTCAGCTAAAAAGAAAGAACCGACTTTTCTTTAATTCATTCTATTCTAAGAAGTTGATATAAAATAATGTTGAGATCCGAGCAGTATTAATTAGGGCAGAGTGGATGGATGTAACACTTGGATGTGTCACAAAGATATGCAGGTGTGTAGGGAAATGAACAGAAAGACAGACTGATTGATGCCGCAAAACTGGGTCATGACTTGATGCACAGCAAGCTAAATTTGTTCAAGTTTTTAATTTGTTCACCTCGCTGAGGTAAATAGTGGAAGAGAAGAAGAAGAAGTAATTAAAATTGGTTTGTGGCAGTTTTTTTTAAAGACCTTATTCGTGATGGTTTTTTTTTTTCTAGTCACTTTTGTAGGACTGTTCTTCACCATCCTAAAAAGATGTTCAAACAGACAGTCTCTCTCTCTCTCTTGTCTTGTCTTGTCTTGTCCACAATTGCCTCACAGTGTAGTGGGGAGTCGCAGTTTTCTAGCCTGGGCCAGGTGTGTTGCACGTGTTGTTGTTAGTCCGTGTTGCCTCAGGATCTCTGATATATTGTCTATCCATCCTACTCTCGGTCTGCCTCTTGCTCTAGGGCAGTAGTGCTGTTCGTTGTATGCTCGTAGAGAAGCAAACAGACAGTAAAGACTAATTTTTAAAATTTTAATGTACAGGCATTACCGACAGCCAAGGGAGGAAAGCCCGTCACATCCTGGAGGAGTGAGCTCTGCTGCCAGAGAACGAGTGAAGAAGCATCACAGGGACAAAGAGAGAGGTCTAAAAGTATCCTCGTCAGATAAGAAAAAGAAACGGTACTCTGATAGAGAATATCACAGAAAGAGAGGTATGGGCCCATAAAAAAAAAGGAAAACTTGTCATTGTATCATCATCATGATGTATCTTATTGATAAGCATAGGTGGTCTCTGTTTTGTCATCTTATACAATCACCGGATTTAGGGATCAAGTCATTGTTTTTGTTTTGCTCAGACCCCATGGTCAAGTCACCCAGGTATATTTCTCGTTGTTTTTTCTTGGTCTTTTTCTGTCTGGTTTGCCATTTGTCAGCAGGGTTTTTGTTTTTGTTTTTTTCCTTTGAGTTTACTCTATACAGTATCGTCATCATCATGCTAGCACACGTTCTTCATGACTTATGACCATCTGCATTACCACACACACACACACACAAATACAAACAAAAAAGTAGATAAATAAAGGTAACTGCATTGGTAGGGTAAAAAAGTTCCAGGAACTGATGTAATAGAATACATATTACATATTTTTTACTGTATATACAATAATTATCCTTACATTTATAGTATTTAACAGTCTTCTTGCCACTTCTGTCTTACAATACCAGACCTGGACAGTGACAAAGAAAAATTGCAACAAATGAAATGAGATTCCTGCGAGGGGCCCTGAATACAACAATAAGAGATAAGATTAGAAATGCTGAAATCCGAAGGAAAATGGGAGTAGCAGCAGCTCTGGATTTCATTAGAAGACAACAGGTGAAATGGTTTGGCCATATAACATGGATGTCAGCAGACAGTATACCACAGCAAGCCATGAAGCCCATGGGAGTCCCGATTTGCAAAAGCACAAACAAGCTCTTTTCCGTAAATTATACTTCACCAAGGTGCCGCAAGGCACAATAGGATCAAGATGAGATCTTATAATATAGCAATTGTGTTTTATGTACAATTTTTATAACCATTTAAAAGAAAATATAAATTCGACTTAAGACCTGTTAGTTGGAACAGAACTCTTGTCGTAAACCGGGGGGAGACTTGTAATGAACCCATTTCCAGGCCTTGGAGCATATTGGGTGAATGATATCACCATGTTTGTTATTAACCAGTCAACAAACACTAAAGTGATGATAGGGTCAGCATCATGTTAACCACCTTGTTATTTAATTAGACATGAACATGGACAAGTAGAAGATGTATATTAACCCTACCAGACCTGAGGCCCTGAACCTAACTGTCCCCTATACCCGAGCTCCTGGGCATTAACCCTACCAGACCTGAGGCCCTGAACCTAACTGTCCCCTATACCCGAGCTCCTGGGCATTAACCCTACCAGACCTGAGGCCCTGAACCTAACTGCCCCCTATACCCGAGCTCCTGGGCATTAACACGAAAAAAACCAACATGATGTACACAAATATTAGTTACATGCAAACAAGTGGTTAGAATAAGATAAAACTTGGAGACAATGTAGAAAATAGGGTTACTTTTCATCTAGCGCCAATATTCCACCTTTGTGTGCCAATACACCTAGCAGGATCAGTCTTGTTTCACAAAGATGTTGCTGTTTAAGGGACACGCCCCCTTCTCCTACTATCGATCTAGTTTTAAATCTATAATTTTCATAATTCTCCTCCTCACTCTAGCTCTCACTGACTGTGTCACTTCAACTGGGAACGTATTCACAGCCTGAATTAACCAAAGTATCGATCACCTGTTGGACTGTGAAAAGCCTAGACCTACGTCACTTTCTTGTCAGAGCCGCTCGTTTCATTAAGAATTTTTCAAATATTTTTCACAGTACACCACACAAAGAAATCTCAACACACATAGGAAGTAATTCGCAATGACTATCCACGAAGTCTGATGGCGTTTGGCTAGTTATTTTTAGTCTGTGACGCATATTTTTAACATACTACGCAAATCCAGAAAAATCAGGCCAGCGGTATAGCGCCAATTTAGGAAATTCCCGAAATATCAGGCCAGCAGTTTGGTAGGGTTAATACATGAACTTGGATAGCATGTTTATTTATACAGTAATATTACAAGTAGGCTGTATATTTAGACAGGAACAAGTGGACAAGTAGGTTGTATATTTAGACAGGAACATTTACAAATTGTATGAGTTGTTATTGTATATTTAAACAGTATAATGAATAAGTAATACATTCTCCTGTTATGTATTAAGACAAGAATATTGATCAGTAATAACAAGAACATAGATCAGTAATGACAAGAACGTAGATCAGTAATGACAAGAACGTAGATCAGTAATGACAAGAACGTAGATCAGTAATGACAAGAACGTAGATCGGTAATGACAAGAACATAGATCGGTAATGACAAGAACATAGATCAGTAATGACAAGAACATCGATCAGTAATGTATACCTATTCTTTGTTTCATAAGACAGGGACAGTGAGAGAAGCTCTCGTCGCAGTGACGGCTCGGAGAGGTCATCCAGGTCGGAGAGATCAGAACGGGGCTCTCGAGATTGGGAAGAGACTCCTGACAGTAGAAGGTATCGAAATTACAGAGATGAGGTGCCCAGTCCAAACATCAAAGTCAAAGGTAATTGTTAAAAAAAAAACATCTTTACTGTTCACGTTGACTACAGTTGTTGTTGTTATCGATCCAGCAGCGTATGAGCTTTCGCCCTTTGGCCCAATGCCATGTAGTGGAATTTGCATGTTTTCACAAGCTGTTCTTTTCCTCCGTACAAGGTGTTCCACTTGTCTGGTCTCGGAGAGAGTAGCATTCCTCTAGTCTCGCTGAGTTTTGGGCACTCAAAGAGATGGTGTTCAACAGTTTCGTAGGGGTAGTTACATAGCTGGCACTCTGGGGAGTGTTGTGGCTGTATTCTGTTTAGATGTCCATTGAGTGGAGTATGTTGCGTTCTAAGTCTGAAGATGGTGGCCTGGTCCCTTCTTGTTAGGTTGACTACAGTTAAGGTAGCTGCCATGGTGTAGCGGCTAGACATTGGCCTGCAGATCCCAGTGTCATGGGTTCAGATCTGAAGTGGAGCTACACTTTAAAAACAAAACAAAAAAGACCCTGGCTGCCAGGTTGACCTTTTAGGCGCATCAGGTATTTGAGAAGAGCACCCATATTTTTACAAACCAATCAGCACTGTAGGTAATGTGTTCAGTGTTACGCCGGCCGTCTTCACTTCCCTGGGACATACATCCTGGTACCAATTTTTGGTTGGGTCTTCCTGCCACGCCACATACCATGATAAAAATCCATGCAGCCAGCAGTGGGTTTCGATCGGGGTACATCGGAATTACGAGTGGCATCTTTTTCGGACTGCTGCTGTAACAGAACTTGACATTGAGTACCGACACTTTTTTCAAGGCATTTTTTCTGACTGCTGCTGTAATAGAACTTGATGTTGGGTACCGACACCTTTTTTAAGACATCTTTTTTCTGACTGCTGCTGTAACAGAACTTGACATTGAGTACCGACACCTTTTTAGACACTTTGTGGTGAGTACCAGCACTCTTTATCCGAGGGAGAAAAACCCTGATAATAATAGCGATAATAACTTACTGTGAGTTCTGGGGGCCACATTTGAGGATTGGGGTGGGGGGATAGGCCCACTGCGCCCCCCCCCCACCCCCTTACCAGCATATCATGAAATGCCACTGTTTGAAGTTTGCTAAAATCAGGAATTTGTTAGGCCAAAAGGTGCAGATATTACAGCATAACTGAAGACAACAGCACAACATGCTGACCACCTTATTAAGGGCAGATGCAGGAGAAGACAACCCAGAAATCTCTCTGCTCAGTATCTTCTAACATTACTATTTTTTTCATTTCAAATTGCAGACACTCCCTCGAGGTCCTCTTGGGACGATGATGACTTGCCAACACCAAAGTCCGCCTGGGACCTTCCTACCCCCGATCTGAACAAAGGTCGCTCTGGTGACAGGTCAAAGAAGACAGATAATGGTGACAGACTAAAAGACAGTCGTCATAGTCGGGGATCAGAAAGAAGTGACAGACGAGACAAATCTGACTATAAGTAAGTAGTTTTAACAAAAAATAAAAAAAAAACCATTGATCGGACTTGGGGGTCACTGTTCTTTTGATTTATCAGCTTCTTCTTTGCTCCAAACCTATTGGCATCTTTCCTTTGACGTAAACAAGGCAGGTCAAGAGAGGGATCATGCTATACAGGAATGCATAGTTTTTACAGTACTGCCCAGGCTTTGTGCTGGGGAGAAGATTGCAATGGGCTGTGTTTCACATGCTTTCTCATAGCACAGTATAGCAGTATTATCATCACCACCAATTTCCACTTTCGCTGTTAAGCTTCATGAGGAGGTACAGTTTGTGATCCATCTCTTGACGGGTAGCCATGGCTGTTGTCATACCATGTCAATCTGGAAGATCTTTAATGACATCAATCCTGTCTTCTCCGAGAGCGACATCTTGCTTTCTCATCATTTCTTTTCTTGAGTAGAGCCTGCGTTGGTAGTTGCTCTGGCTGCATTCTGACCATTTCTTCTATTTCTCAATGAATTTGATGCACAGTGTTGTTTCCTCAGTCAGTCTGATAGTATCCTTTCTCACTTTTGTTTTGGACTTGTCATTCTGTGGCTTTCCTCGGGCATTGAATTGCAGTTTTTTTGTTTTTAAACATAGGTTAGCTTTTGATAATTTCTTAGCTTTGCACTGGTAGTGCATTGTTGGTATGAATATGTTGTTTATAATCTGAATGACAGTTCATCTGCTGGAAAGATGAAAAGATGCCAACAGCAGAAATTAAAGGAGTCTGCTCATACCTTCTCAACAAGATATAGTCCGATCCGATTTTGAGCAACAACAACAACAAAAAAGCGTTTTCTAGTAATTATGACCCAGTTATTTGCGCCATTTAAAATCGCTTAGTATTGCTCGCCACCAGGAAGTCCTGAAAAACTCTTGCAGTAGTGATGCCATCAAAGAAGACAGACTCTAATATTGTCCGGACTAACGACGAGGCCATCTACCGGCCAGCCAACGGGTGACTCGGTTGTCGATGAACAACACATGGTGCTAGACCGAAATTTCGATAGACCAGTCAGCACTCGAAGGGCAGTACGGTCAACATCGCGCTGACCATCTTTATTTCCTAAAATAATTTTTTCCTTAGTGATTCTTGAGCCCAAGTTTTAGTGGGGAAAAAAGGATAGACCCACTGCCCCTTAAGAATTAATCAAGTAACAGAAAGTGTATTGATCGGCACTCTTTCTGTGAGTGCCGATCAATACACTTTTGTTACTTGATTAATTCATAATATTTAACAGCCTCAAAGGTTCCCCCTCTGTTTATTTATGGGAATGCCCCTTAAGAAGCATATGGTAATAGGCGACTAATTAGATGTTTGCTGAAATCATATGTGTTAAGACATATGAAAGTCGTAGACCTTACATACAGCCTTGCTGAAAATTACATTGCAGTGTGCCAACAAGTTTAAAGGCAAACACAGTAGGAAAGGGATAGTTCCTTAACTGATTAATAAACAACCATTTTGAACACATTACTGATTAATGTAAATAAAAATGTATTTATGCACATTACAATATATGCACATTACAAATAAAAAATAAATATAGGGGAGTGGTCAGTGGCCATGAATGGAGTGAAGAATTAAATTGAATAAATTTCCTTGGGCCCAAAAATATTTTGTTTTGGGAGCACATGCTGTGATCCCTGTCAGTATGCATTATTAAGTACAAAATTAAGTACCAAAGGGAAGGGCGAGACAGATATACGATCAGACAGTTACTGGTACCACAGGAATTAGAACTCTTCGCTTACTGCTAAAGATGGGGATGAAGCGCTGATGGGAGTGTCCCGACTGCTGTGATGTCAATTTTGAATTCAACATTCACTAAGCAACCGCTAAAGGCAGATTATGACATCAAAATTACTAAAAATCTAGATTCCCTGTTAGTACCCCAAAATTCTTTTTTTTTTTTTTTTTTTGGTGAAAATAATTTTTTTGGGGGTCATTATAATATATCAGGCCCTTGTAAACACTTTACAGACACAAACAGAATTAATGCGATTAACTAGGTTTGTCAGGGACCGGAAAGTGCAGCAAAACCAAAATATTGACTTCTTAAAAATTTGTAACGGACTGAGAAGTCTAAATAATGGCTTTTTGAGGTTGAGTTGAGTTGATTAAAGAATTGACACCACAGAAATCGGGGCATTTTTGTAAGTGCTCTGTCCCCGTCTTCAGAAGTCAGCGCAGAGTTTCAGCACCAATGATGCCAGTAGCATTATGATTAAACACCCGTCTTGCCTTTCCTCTGAGCGTTGAGTATCGGGCAGATCCCCTCATCACTCCCCACCGCATCACTCTCACCAGACTGTGGTGATCCATTTGCTCCTCCAAATTGTACATGTTCTCCCACAGGGCCATAACCACATCTGCCTTGTCATGCATCAGTATTTCACTAAGTTGTGCAGAGCCAGCCAGTTGGTCTGCCTGTTCATTTCCCTATCCACCAGCATGACACCCGGAGAAAAGATGGGTGAAAGGGGTTAACCTGAAGTGTCAAATGAAGACTTGCTTGTCAATTTCTATGCCCTATTCTAATATATTTCATGCATAATTTACCCATCTTCCAGATCCAAACAACGTGACGATTTCACACCTAAAGCAACACCAACTTACAAGTACAACGAATGGATGAAAGACAAGAAAAAAATACAGTATACACCAAAAGACAATGAAAAACCAGGTAAGATGATGCCCATTTGTTGAATGTTGAATTAAGAATTGACCGCACAGTACTTGGGACATTTCCATTGTTGCTCTGTCTCCATCTTCAGAAGGAAGCGTAAAGTTCTAGTTCCGATGGTACTTGTAACTGTCTGATTGTACGGCCCGTTTCACTGTTCCCTTGAGTGTTAAGCATCAGGCAGATCCCATAGTAACTCCCAGTGGTACCATTCTCCTCAGACCGTAATGATCTGTTTGTGTATTCATTCTGTTCATTCGCTCCCAAAGGGGCCCCCCACAATATCTAGCTTGTCATACATCAATTCTTCACCAACTGGTGCAGAACCAGCCAGTTTATAATAAACGTCAGTAATTTTATAAAGTACGTGATACTTTCCTGGACTGCTCTGAATTTTAGAAAGGAATTCATTGAAACAGATAGCCCTTTATATGTGAACAGGGACATGGCAAGGGAATTAGGATCCTTAGGCGTGGATTTCAGGATAAGTTGACCTAAAAGCCAAGGTCAGTAATAAAATTCCACCATGATGTGGATTTCATGTGTGCCAGGGAGAAGGCAACCAGCCACTCTATTATAATGGCTCCTGGAGCCACTCTGTTATGGTGGCTCCTGCAGCCGCTCTGTTATGGTGGCTCCTGCAGCCGCTCTGTTATGGTGGCTCCTGTAGCCGCTCTGTTATGGTGGTTCCTGCAGCCACTCTGTTATGGTGGCTCCCACAGCCGCTGTTATGGTGGCTCCTGCAGCCGCTCTGTTATGGTGGCTCCCGCAACCGCTGTTGTGATGGCTCCTGCAGCCACTCTGTTATGGTGGCTCCCGCAGCCGCTGTTATGGTGTCTCCCGCAGCCACTCTGTTGCGGTGGCTCCCGCAGCCACTCTCTTGCGGTGGCTCCCGCAGCCACTCTGTTATGGTGGCTCCTGCAGCCCCTCTCTTATGGTGGCTCCTGCCTGTCTTGGAGTGACTAGTGCCCTTCCTTACCAAGAAAGAATCTAGGAAGGTGAAGATGGCCGGCATAATTTTGACTGCATTACTGATCAGATGCTGACTGGTCTCTGAAAATGTAGTTTTAAGCATAGACAAGGAGACAACAGATCAGTGATTCGGACATATGTCAAGAATCCCACCAGATAGTGCAGCACAGAGAGCCCTGTCACTTAGACATAATAGAAGCAGAGTTGGATGTGAGCCACTCAAGCAATGGATGAATGGAATATCCAGGATCGTAAATACCAGCACGTAGTACATACTAAGGCTTGCACCCGATGCCTCTTCAGAGCCTGAAGCTGAAAGGCAGAACAGGACTCTAGAAGAAGAGAAGATAGACAAACATAGAATGGAATAATCATGAAACTGTCACTAGCCTATGGACTGAAATTTTGGCAATAAAGTCAATTTTGATGACATGGTGTATCAGCCATGTGCACCTGTGGAAAGGTGCCCCAGACAGCAGAGCATGTACTCCAGGACTGTATCGAATTTGACACATTAAGGCAAACCTTTTGGCCAGAAAGAACAACAGTGGAACGTAAACTCTATGGACCACTGAATGAACTAACAACGACTGTGGAATTTGTACAAGAGACAAAATTGCTGATATAGACAACTTATTTCAGGCGAATGAAAGAAGAAAAAGAATAAGAAGAAGATGACATGGAGTTAATTTTTTTTTTTAATTACACCTAAACTGAGAAGTTTAAAAAATTTTAATTGTTGATTTTGGTGGCCAGATTGGCCCAGTCTATAAAATAGTTTTAAAGACGATCTAAAATATGAAGCAGCTGACGTAATATTGACCATATCACTGTTTGTGCCAGTGGTTTATATAAATTTTGAGGTGCTAAGACATGCCTGATGTGGCAGTGTTCTGAAAAGGGTTCTTTATACTTTACTTGAGAATTTGTATTCATCATTGTGTAAATATAAGGAGTTTTATTTGAAACCCTTACCACCTGCATTATGGCAAAAGCTTGAAAGAATCCTCAACAGGTGTAACAAAATTAAACAAAGCATTTATTTGGAATGAAATATGCATCATGGCTTGGCCAGAGAAGTAGCTATAAGCATTAAGGCAAGCACCCCTTTGCTTAGGTAGGCAGTGAATGTCCTTCGCAAAAAAAAAAAAAAGATTGTGGTTGCTTACTGAACCATGAGTTTCTCCTTTTGGAGGTTGATTAACATCCACGGTGCCAACTGTGAACACACCTTCTGATATTGTAGTTTCTTGCTAATAACCTTCAGAACTTTCCCAGTTGACACATACAATTCTGTTGCTAGTGAATGTGTGCTCTGTACTGCTACATCAGTTTTGACATTGTTTTGTGTGTGTGTGTGTTGTACACTCTGTTGTAAGATATGTCAAGAACCTAGGCCTAGGGTCCTATTCAAACATTCCGCTGGATATCTCCTTGATGGATGTGCTACAGTGAAGTCCTGCTTACTATAACTGGCACATTTGGCCCATCATCATCTAATACAGTTGTTATCTTTACTAGTAAACAATAACGCTTGTGACAGGCCACATAAACTTTAATGGCATTAAAGTTACACGTCACAAGATGATGATGATTATTCAATAAAACGTACGATAATAACTCTCTATTATCTACTCAGAGGATATAAAAGAATTACACTCTTTTCTCAATGGACTCCTGCTATTATAAGAAATAAATAGACATTAAACTGTCTCCCGTAAGTACGGTTAATCCAAAACCTCATAAAGAGAAACGTTTTTATAATATCCTCAACACAATGTTTCCACAGGTCCGACTTGGACAATGGAAACTTCTCAACTGCCTGGGTCTTTGTCCTATACGCCCAGCATTCAATTAGCTCGTATCCTAGGTAACGACCTGTGGCCGCTGTGTGAACCTTTCACCTGCGCTGTGACCACTAGAAGAAACTAGAAGAAACTTTAACTCTTGGACAATAAGATTACAACAGTGTGGAAGATATGTCATGAACTCACGTCGTTTCCAAAACATTCGTGGTCGGTCTTTCACTTTTATTTTTACACACATATGTCACCCGTATGCTGCCTGCATTCTCAGTGAATATCTACTAGTTGACATCCTTCATATGAAAGAAACTGAGTCATGCCACTAGGCGGATTTTAAATCAACCCAGCCATTTTTCTGTGGTCAGAAACAGAACTTATGCATCATGGGACGATGAGCACACACTCTTTTATTCATAGGTCAGTACTTATCGCATGACTATGGCATGATCATGTTCAGCGAACACTCCTGATACATATTTGCTATCTGTTCCATGGTGGGGTTACCGAGGACTCATTATTTGGGGCGGTTAACAAAATCTTATTAGATCCTCTGCTTTTTAACAAGCATATTGTAAATAGCGACTAATTAAGGATTGATTGAAATCAGATGTGTATGGCTGAAAGATGCAGATATCACAGCTTAGCTGTGAACAACAACATAATGTACTGACCGCTTTTTTAAGGGTGACTGCAAAAGTATAATTCAAATTTTTTCATTTTTACTTCTGTTTCTTGTAGGGAAAGAAAATATTCTGGATTTTGAGTCAGAAGAGGATCGACTTGAATGGGAGAATGAGCAGAAACGATTGGATAGGGAATGGTATAATCTGGACGAAGGTTATGATGATGAGCACAACCCATTCTCGGGCACATCTAAGGAGTACACCAAGAAGAAGGAAGAGGAGCTGGAGCAAAGGAAGAAGAAACGAATGTCGGCACAGCAAAGACAAATAAATAAGGTCGGTTTACTGTTTTTAAAAAACCATTAACTATTGTAATGATTAGGATTTAGGTTTAAACAATGGATCAACATCATGGCACAAGGGTAGTAAACCATAAGTGCTTCGTTCTACTTCCAACTTAAGTCCCGAAGAGTCTCGGCGCAGGGCATGAACTCTGTAGCACCGGCGAGGATCCTGAAATACTTTGGGTAGATTTTTAACTCCAAATTTAACCCAGGCAACGCCTTTAGGCTACTCTTTTCAATTTCCAACTTAGTTAGTTGGTTAGTTAGTCTTTCCTCTTGTGTCAAGTGCGGCACATAGGGCAGAGGTCATGACTCTCCATGCATGGCGGTTCGTTGCAATCTGTTGTAGGTCTTGGATGTTTGAGTGGCCTATGAGTGAGCCTTCCCTGATGATAGTTCTACGTAGGTTTCCTTTGGTCTTCCATGCGAGATCTTTTCCCTGTGGTGTCCACATGAGGGCTTGGTAAGGAAGTTCTTGTTATCCATTCTAAGGGCGTGGCCGACATAGTTTTCAGCGTATAAAATTAAGACACATACTCCTTGCCTGGATTCTTGTCTTATTTGTGTAGTTGGTTCGGAAATCTGACCATTTGAAATTTAGTATTCTTCTTAGGCATTTATTTTCAAAACTGTCTAATTTTGTGTCTAGAGTTTTCGTTGATTTCAAGCTCTCGCATCCATAGGTTTAGTACTGGAATCACACAAGAATTGAAGATCTTGAGTTTGTGTGTTTGCTAAGTGTCTTTGATTTCCAGATGTTGGACAGTTTATTGAAGGCACTAGATGCCAGTGCTATTCTAAATGGTATTTCTGGTGCGGTATCTCCTGTAGATGACATCTTGCTCCCTAGATAAGTGAAACTGTTGACTTTTTCAAGGATGTTGTTGTTCAGCGTGATATCAACTGAACTGTTGGTAAGGTCTAGAATTTTTGTTTTTGCGGTGTTAATTTGGAGTCCAATTTGTTCTGAGAAATTCTTGAGTCGATTGATTTTTTCTTGGGCGTCTGTGTGTTGTGAACTCAGGATTTCCAACTGCCAAGGGATTTTTTAACATACTCAACAATACACACGGACATCCAATCTTACTACCCAGAGACCAGGGAAAATTACTATAAGTCCACATTAAAAAAATCTCAGCCTTTACTGGGGCTTGAACCCGGGACGTCCAGCTCTTGAAGCAGATGCCATGCCTCAAGACCACCAGCCCCCTATATTGCAATGATTTATGTTTGACATATGAGCTAAATAAACAACTAGTTTACCACAAAGCGTGTGTAAGAGCAGAGCTCAATAGTGCCACTGGCCAGAAAAGACAAACATGAGATTTGACATTATCTGTTGTGCTGCATGAGAACAACTGAGTGATGTTTCACAAATGCATGTGAATGGACAGATGATTAGAAGGATGAAACAATTCTGAATCATTCTGTGTTTAGGGCTTGGGTGGGTAGCAAGTTGTTTTGAATGTGTATGTGTGTACCAGTTCTCACTGTCAGTGCTACCCAGATTAAACGACTCGAAAAGGTGCAAAATGAAGCCATGCGCATTATTTTGGGATGTACTAGAGACAACATCCTGTGGAGCAATATGAGGTATCTACTTACTTTCCAACAATGAACCAAAGGATCAGGATGTGGAGGGCTCGGGCATATCTCAAAAATATGCGCAGGATAAGAAACACCCACTGCATCAATCGCGCTTTTAGTGAAAAGGGCGACAGACTGAAGAGGGGGAAATCGTGGCTAGGTCGGGCAGAAGATGTTTATTAGGCAAATATGCAGCCTAACCGACATCAACCTGGTGCAGAGTGATACCTGTGCCTCAGGCGTTTATTTGTACCTTTTCCTGTATTGTCACAACTCAACAGGCGATGTAGAGAAGATAATCCTGATTTGCTGTTAATGCAGAGGTCACGCTCTCATGGGTGAAAATTCAGACGAAGCAGATGCAATAATCTATACAGACGGATCCGTTATACGCCCAAAGAAGAAGCGCATGGGCATTTACAGCACGCTCAGCGGGCAGAACAGTCAAAGAAGCCAACGGCGCCTTCTCCATGACAACCAGCAGCATGACGATGGAGGTGATGGCAGTGACACAAGCGCTTGCCTGGGCTTGAAACACAAAAATACACCCGCGTGTGTATACTCAGTGATTCAATGAATATGATCCGGAGGGTTCAGGCAGGTTCAGTGCGAAGACAATGGCTTGAATCATTACAGAAGTCCACTGTTCGTGGAGTCACCTTTATTTTTGTTCCGGGACACGCAGGCGTTCGATGGAAATGAAAGAGCTGACAGTTGGCTGGATCCGCTATCACTACCGACGGTCAGCCTATGGATCATGCTGATATTATCAATGCCCTCAGAGAAATGGGAAGAATAGAGGACTTTGGTGGCAGTGAATCCACATCACTCGCCAGAATGGCAGACTTGGGAATTAAGATCGGCACAGCAAAAACGAGACACACACCAGCTACGCAAGAAGACTTTGTTAATCAACATAGAACTGGTACTATTAGCCATCGGACGTTGGGGTTCATACTGAGGGGAGGATCTGAGCACCTATGGACATGTCCGGAGTGCAATGAGGATAACCCAACTAACTAACTAACTAACTAACTAACTAACTAACTAACTTTGAATCTACTCAAGCAGTCTACTTCAGAGTGTATCTGGCCACCTGATAGTTGACAAAATGGCGTTTGAACCAACTTGATGGTGATGAATATAATCGACTGATAAATTCTCACGCTGACCTCCTGTGAGTTTGAAAGGGAACATTCTCTTGCTGAAATTTCTGGTTTCAGATCCACATCCATTTTACAGATCTAGCCTGTTTATTATGCAGACTGCTGATCCCTTGCCTCTCAGACAGATGCAGTCCAACTTCAAAGGAAACATCCTTAATTACTTGTGATTTACACCGCGTTAGCACAGTCGATAGGAGACTTGCTTTCAAATCCAGCTGCGACTCACTTTAGCCCACGGTCGGTGTTCGAAACCGGGCGGTTCCTGAGGTTCACCCAGCCTCTAGGAAATGGGTACCAGAGCTGACACTCTGCGGTAAATGGAGGAACGTCGCTGTAGCTACTGAGTTACGCGCGGACAATTTCTTATCATCTGTCTGCACTGGTGGCAGAGCACTCATGGTTTATAACCGTGTGCAATGACGCTGGTTCACATCTCCCGATGTGAGTTTTTTTTTTTTTTTCAACAGGCTTGTTAGAGGACAGTATATCTCTTGTTTTTCCACCCACAATGGAGCCACAGCATCCGCAAGGGAAACAGTGCTGTTATTCTTTGCTTCCCTATTGGGCCCCAAAAAGACATTGGATGTTTCAGTTGCTCACATTATTCCAACATTGTCCATAAATTTTAGAGTACTTATGTTGCGTGCTTATTATTAATATATAGGGGTTTCTGTGGTGGAGTGGTCAAGCCATTGGCTTGCACTTTGGGTTTGCTTCACGGACTGCCAATTGGTTCATGAGTTTCAGTTTGGATGGATATCCTTGGGGTTGGTCCCCGGAGCTACAGAGTTTGTGCTTTGAATGATGCTCTCAGCAGGCGGCTAGTCTGAGGAAGGACGAACCATATGAGATACAAACCCAGTGCAATGAAGTCGATCTTTTCAGCTGTAAATTTTTGTAATTTCGTTAACGTGTCTGTTACAGGATAACGAGCTGTGGGAGACTAACAGAATGCTTCGCAGCGGTGTTGTAGCCAGGGTGAACTTTGATGAGGATTTTGATGATGAAAACGAGGCCAGGGTACACTTGCAAGTTCTGAATATCGTACCGCCATTTTTAGATGGTCGAATAGTTTTTACCAAACAGCCGGAGCCTGTGATACCTCTCAGAGTGAGTTTTGTTCTAATTTTTTGTTAATCATTAAGCGTGTGTTATTGACCATAATGTTGTTGTTTGCGTTCACCGGCTGTTAAGTCTGGTGGAAAGACCTGGTTGTTAATTCATTTCAGGACTTTGGCTTTGTTCCCGGACCTGAGTTTAGCGTGTGCATCTGTTTTACAGATCTTGCACACTTGTATGACTATTGGTTCCTTGCCACTCAGGCAGATGCACTCCGACTTTGAAGGAAGCGCCCAATTAGTCGACTCTTACGACATGCTTGTTAGGGAGGCAGTGGGTGGGTCTATTCTTGTTTTCCCTACAATGGGGATCCCGGAACCCACACAGGGAAAAGGTAACGTTTTTTGTTGTGGTTTAAAAAAAAAAGGTTAAATTAGGGAAAAGTCGGTCTTATAAATAAAGCAACTTAAGCAGAGGATCCTGTTTCCCCTCTGAAGGTTTATTGGGCACATAATGCTTGTTATAATCGTGTCACAGGTCCTTTGCAGAATGCCGCTCCCATGATAGCCTGGCTAAAAGAAACTCAGTCCTTCACCAGCTCTCTTGCCGCATGCCCAAGGTGTCTCCTGTGACTTGTGTCTACCTTTATGTGGGTCGTCACGAGTTAGAGTTTGAAAGAATAAGAAGAAAGTGTTTATATCAAAATTTTGGAAAAGGAAATTTTTTATAGATTTTTGTAAGGAGAAAAGGTTCAGTTGTGTATTTTTTAGACAGAACTATAGACAGAACACTTGTATATTTCTTCTTGAGTTAAGAGAATAATAAGTATGTGGTTTTTAAAAAACAAAATGTTGAACAAGATTTTTAAAAAAAATTGTCTTGCATGGAGAAAGGGTTACAATAACTAATAATGCTGTAACTATGTATATACTATCATCTCAGTGACCACAGTTACAACTTTATAAAATAACATAACATAACATAACCTTTGACTCGTTAGGCCGTGGGGGTGTATCCATGGCAGCACTAGCACACAAAACCAGCCATCTTTCTCTGTCTTCTGCTTGTTGAACAAGTGTAATATAACAGTCCTGTCCATTTCTTGATGTTGTCATTCCAGATTCTTCTTTGACCTTTTCTTCTTCGACTACCCCCCATAGTTCCTTGAAGTACAGTCTTTGCAATTAAATCATGTCTCACCACGTGCCCGAACCAAGCTAGCATGTGACGTTTCACCACTGCCAAGAAAGGCACCTGATATCCTGCAAATTTGGTATATTTCGTCTCTGACATATTTATTAGTTTTGTGTTCTAAATAACTAATTTGTAAAATGCGAAACATTTACATTCGAAAGCCATTTCCATAGTCCAACTCTCACATCTGTGTAAGAAAATAGACAGCACCAGTGATTTGAATATATTAACCTTATTTCGATGCTGATTTTGCTTTTCCACATCGTATTCATCTGGGACATCCCAACTGTTTTAATCTCTTACTTTATCTATGGCACACTTGTAAATGACCACTGATATTATAACTTTGTGTTGACAGGATGACCTCAGACATAGATGTTGCCATATCAAGCCTTGTTTTGATCTCTTACTTTATCTATGACACACACTTGTAAATGACCACTGATATTATAACTTTGTGTTGACAGGATGACTTCAGACATGGATGTTGCCATATCAAGTCTTGTTTTGATCTCTTACTTTATCTATGATGCACTTGTAAATGACCACTGATATTATAACTTTGTGTTGACAGGATGACCTCAGACATGGATGTTGCCATATCAAGCCTTGTTTTAATCTCTTACTTTATCTTTGACACACTTGTAAATGACCACTAATACTATAACTTTGTGTTGACAGGATGCGACCTCAGACGTGGATGTTGCCATATGAAGCCTTGTTTTGATCTCTTACTTTATCTATGACACACACTTGTAAATGACCACTAATACTATAACTTTGTGTTGACAGGATGCGACCTCAGACGTGGATGTTGCCATATGAAGCCTTGTTTTGATCTCTTACTTTATCTATGACACACACTTGTAAATGACCACTAATACTATAACTTTGTGTTGACAGGATGCGACCTCAGACGTGGATGTTGCCATATGAAGCCTTGTTTTGATCTCTTACTTTATCTATGACACACACTTGTAAATGACCACTAATACTATAACTTTGTGTTGACAGGATGCGACCTCAGACATGGCTCTGGTGTCTCGTAAGGGCTGTGCTGTTGTGAGGTTGCACAGAGAGCAAAAAGAGAGAAAGAAGGCTCAGAAGAAAGAATGGGAGTTGGCAGGAACCAACATTGGCAACATCATGGGCATCAAGAAGAAGGAAGATGATGAGGTAACTAGTTTAGACTTGCAGGTTGTCTCATTGTTGTAGGCAGATTTGGAAATCAGTGTGTTTCAGGTTGTCTCATTGTTGTAGGCAGGTTTGGAAATCAGTGTGTTTCAGGTTGTCTCATTGTTGTAGGCAGATTTGGAAATCAGTGTGTTTCAGGTTGTCTCATTGTTATAGGCAGATTTGGAAATCAGTGTGTTTCAGGTTGTCTCATTGTTGTAGGCAGATTTTTGAATCAGTGTTTCAGGTTGTCTCGGTTTTGTAGGCAGATTTGGAAATCAGTGTTTCAGGTTGTCTCATTGTTGTAGGCAGATTTGGAAATCAGTGTGTTTCAGGTTGTCTTGGTTTTGTAGGCAGATTTGGGAAACAGTGTGTTTCAGGTTGTCTCATTGTTGTAAGCAGATTACGGAATCAGTGTGTTTCGGATTGTCTCCTTGTTGTAGGCAGATTTGGGAATCGGTCTGTTTTAGGTTGTCTCATTGTTGTAGGCAGATTTGGGAATCAGTGTTTCAGGTTGTCTCGGTTTTGTAGGCAGATTTGGGAATCAGTATTTCAGGTTGTCACGGTTTTGTAGGCAGATTTGGAAATCAGTGTTTCAGGTTATCTCGGTTTTGTAGGCAGATTTGGGAATCAGTGTTTCAGGTTGTCTCGGTTTTGTAGGCAGATTTGGAAATCAGTGTGTTTCAGGTTGTCTCGGTTTTGTAGGCAGATTTGGGAATCAGTGTTTCAGGTTGTCTCAGTTTTGTAGGCAGATTTTGAAATCAGTGTTTCAGGTTGTCTCATTGTTGTAGGCAGATTTGGAAATCAGTGTTTTAGGTTGTCTCATTGTTGTAGGCAGATTTGGAAATCAGTGTTTTAGGTTGTCTTGTTGTTGTAGGCAGATTTGGGAATCAGTCTGTTTTAGGTTGTCTCATTGTTGTAAGCAGATTAGGGAATCAGTCTGTTTTAGGTTGTCTCATTGTTGTAAGCAGATTAGGGAATCAGTCTGTTTTAAGTTGCCTCATTGTTGTAAGCAGATTAGGGAATCAGTCTGTTTTAAGTTGCCTCATTGTTGTAAGCAGATTAGGGAATCAGTGTGTTTCAGGTTGTCTCGTTGTTGTAGGCAGATTTGGGAATCAGTCTGTTTTAGGTTGTCGGGAGTTTGACCAACAGTTCTTCCGAGTAGTTTTTTAAATTTCTGTTGTCTTTAATAATGATTGACCCCCGCACTCCACATAGGTTCTGGGTCCCCACTGCTGCCTAGTGAGCATATCATGAAAGTCAACTAGTTGGGTGTCTTTGCCTCAAAATCGGAGTGCATTTGCCTGAGAGATGAAGAACCAACAGTCTGCATACAAATGTTTTTTCATTTCTTATCTCACCCCTTTTTTACGAAACACTGAAGAATTATATACTTCTCCCTGATTTGTCTTGAACTATACATGAAACAAAGATACATTTCTCCCTGATTTGTCTTGAATTTTACATAGAGCAATGGTTTTAGATTTATTTCTCCTTGATTTGTCTTGAACTTTACGTAGAACAATGATTTATTTTTCCATGATCTGTCTTGAAATAAGCATAAAACAGTGATATATTTCTCCCTAATTTGTCTTGAACTAAACACAGATGGACTATATATTTCTCCCTGATTTGTCTTGAACTAAACATAGATGGACTATATATTTCTTCCGGATTTGTCTTGAACTATACACAGATGAATGATATAATTATACCTTGAATTATACACAGAACGTGGATGAATCCCACTACAAAGATGATCACAAGTTTGCTGACGTCATGAAGGATAAAAATGAGGCTGTCAGTGAGTTTGCCCTGAAGATGTCATACAGGGAACAGAGGCAGTTTTTACCCATTTTCGCTGTCCGGAATCAGGTCAGAAATGTTTATCTTTGTTATTGCAAATGTACCAAAAGAGTTTTTAACTTTAAAAACAAGAATAAATTAATTTACTAAAAGAATGAGAAAAATCAGTAAATGAAACAGCCAGAGCTGACTGTTTTGCCTGAAATATTTATCAGTGAATTAAAAAAAAAAACCTGTCTGGAATGCGGCTTTTGGAACCATCAAAAATGCCAAATCGCTGCAGATTTTAGAGTTAGAAGCAACTACCAAATTCATACTCTGTTTAAATAAACTTAAGTTACTGGCGTCATGCATACTCATCAACTGCAATGATTGGAGTATATATAGAGAGAATGGCAGATGACGGAGTGACTCTCTTTGTGTGATCCTGGGTCTCATTTTTTTAAAGGGATTTTGGAGGGGGGGGGGGGGGGGGGGAACTGCTCGTATGCATGATGTGTAGGTGTATATGTATGGAATGTGTGTGTGCATGTAAGTGTGTGTGTCTTATGTTTGTGCATGTATGTATGTGTGTTTGTTTTATGTTTGTGTATATATGTATGTATGTAGATGCATGTATGTATTCATTACGTATGTCTGTATATGAGTGTGCATGTATGAGAATGTAAGAGTATATATACATGTGTGTGTGTCAGATTGTGTACACATGATGTGTGTATGCATTATTCTATAACGCATATTTCTTTATTATTTCCATATCATGCATTATTGATAACAGGCATTGGTACTCTGAAAAATGAGTGATTAGAAGGGCTGAATGTCAGACGGGCCTGTGTGCCTAATTTGTAACTCTTTGAAAATAAAGTTTGTTTGTTTGTTCGTTCAAATGAGCTAGATGTGTAAAATAGGTGTGCACAGAAGACTCAAATTGTGGAACAAAACCAAAGCTCATATAGGTGCCAGATCAATCAGAACTTTTAATCAGAGTTAAAAATCGATGAAGGCAATTAAAAAAGGGCGTGCAGGTTGGGATTTTGTGTGTGTGCCCCCTAAGGACAAAATCCATTGCTTTAACAGAGGATTCTAATGTGGGTCTCCAAATGAAAGCCTGATATTAACCACTTAGCCAGCTGCTTCTCTGTGAAACAGTAAGAAGACAAAAAATTGACATGTAAGACGGTAAAATTATACTATTATTTGCTGCTAAACATTTATATTAAATCGAGGGGCTTCAAATGGAAATCTTGAAACAGTGATGGACGTTACAATAATCATGCTTTTTTGTCTTGTAGCCTGTCTATTGTCCTCTTTAGTTCACGTCAAAAGTGGGGCGGCTATCTTTAAACTGTCATTATGATATAACTGTTTTCATTTGCATCCTCCCCCGTGTGGGCTCCTGGGGCCCCATTGTGGGGAAAACAAGAATAGACCCACTGCCTCCCCAAAAGCATGTCGTAAGAGACGACTAATTGGGGAGCTTCCTTTGAAGTCGGAGTGCATCTGCCGGAGAGGCAAGGAACCAACAGACTGTATTCAAGAGAATGAGATCTGTAAAACTGATGCACACGCAACACTCAGGTTCTGGAGCAGGACTGCAGTTCAGTAGTGGACGAGCAACCAGAACCTTCCGCCAGAGTTTACAGCTGGTGAACGCGAAGAAGAAGAAGAAGATTTGCATCCTGATGTCACATGTTTAGCTCTCTTGGCAACCTTAACAACAATATTGACAGGTTACAAAACAATGACATTGTTATTGCAATTTGTATCACACTTAACAATTTCATTTGAAGCCTGCTCGTTCCTGTCAGTTATTCTTCTGCTCTTTAGAGTCTATGCTGTGTGGTGTTGGTAGTCATGTCTGGCCACAAATTTCTGTCGCGTGTAATCTTAGTCAGCTCTGACACAGATGATCTTCCTGTCACTCTCTGCTTCTCCTCCCCTCCAGCTTTCCGACTGTCACAATGTACTCTAGTTTTTACAGTCAGTTATTCAATAAATCAGGTGCCGTCTCCACAATGAAGGTTGGCTGCAATGGATCTCCAACAAGCCCTGTCTCTTGCCCTTGATGTACACTCACTCATACTGCTGTTCGTCCATCTCTTGATGTTATCCTCCCACTTGTAACGCTGTCTGCCTCTTGCTCGCCTACCTTGAACCTTTCCCTCTAGGATGATCTTTACAATACTGTTATGTCTTTTAATGTGGCCAAAATATTTCACTTGTCTCTTTTTTATTTCACCTAGCAACTCTCTTTTCATTCGCAATTTCCTCAGTACCTCTGTATTTGATAGCTTTTGTTTCCATGAAATACGACCTAAACTTCTGTATATCCACATCTCCAAAGAATTGATATGATTTTCCAGTTGTTTGTTCATTGTCCATGTCTCTGTGCCATACGGTCAGTTATTACAGACCTTTAAAGAAAAAAAATTTAAAGATTAAAGAATGCTTTTGCTTGCCACATTTCCAGTTGCTGAACGTGATTAGAGACAATAACGTGATCATCATTGTTGGTGAGACCGGCTCCGGCAAAACTACACAGCTAACTCAGGTAATTTCTGTCACCTGTGTCCGGCTGCATGTCAGAGAAAAGCAGAGAGATGTGTGTGGCAAGATTCAGTTATGAATTTGGAACCGATATCATAGCGCTCGGGACGTACTTATAAGTGCTCCATCCCTATGCGTTTACCCTTCTTCTTCTCTTTTTATTTTTCTTCTCCTCCTCCTCCTCCCTTTTCTCATCCTTCTCTTCTTCTTCTTCCTCCTCTTCTTCTTCTTCTGCTACATCTCTTCTTATTTCATGCATTCAGCAGCTTTAAATTACGGTGGAAAGTTCTGGTTGTTTGTCAGATTTCTGGTCTTGTTTCAGAACTTTAGCTTTGTATGCACATCAATTTTTATATATATGTCTAATTTTTTGGCACTGTTTGTTCTTTGCCTCTCAGGCAGGTGCACTTTGGTTTTGAAGGAAACACCCCTAATTATCGTATTTTAGAAGGGCTGTGGATTTGATCAACCCCCCCCCCCCCTTTCCCTCAATGGGGCTCCACACGGCGAATACATACCCTAAAGTTGCCTTTTGAATTTTTTTATTAAAAATATTTCTTTCGCAGTATCTTCATGAAGATGGCTACACTAGGCTGGGTATGATTGGCTGCACACAACCTCGACGAGTGGCGGCCATGTCTGTGGCTAAACGTGTTGCTGAGGAAATGAATATCAAACTGGGAGAGGAAGTTGGGTACGCCATTCGTTTTGAGGACTGCACATCGGAGGTACTTGACTGAATTTTTGTAATTAGTTTTTACAGCAGTATTTATGAATAGTGTTTGTATTTTTTAGGGTCTGTGTGGCAAAGTGGTTAAGCTCTTAAGCTCTTTGCTTGCACTCTGAAGGTTCTGCAGCTCTTCTTCTTCTATTTCTGAGTTAAGCCTTTTGCCTTGTGAATGCTATTAAAAAAAAATAGGCATAAGCCCGTGAATTTTCAGGTCAGTGTTGTGGATAGACAGGTTTACAGTTTTTAATTGTGGCAAGTTTTTGTTTCTGACAATAGCTATCTGTGCATTTTTCTCCATATGAAGACTGAAATTATATAGTTCTATCACCCAGTTCTGAGTGCATGGCGTGATACTGTGAGCTGTAAAGTTAATTTGGGAAATTTTCGACTGTGCCCCTTGCAGATTCAGAGAAAATGGCAAGGGACCTATTGGTAGAGAACTTGTGGTGCCTAATGCTATTAATTGCATGTGCAACTACTGATCTGTTATAAATGCTGCTTCCAATGTTGGACTGCATTTCTAGTGTCAGACTATTTGTGTTGGCACTTCTGACAGCTTCCTTTTGTATTTAATGTGCGTGTATGCTCTGTTAGATTTGCTAAGACTGCAGTCTTGTGTCAATATTTGTCACAAGGGACATTGATAGACATTTTCCATTGTTTTCGTTGGCATAGGAGTTAAGTTGAGTCAAGAATTGACATCACAGCACTCGGGGCATTCCCATGTGTGCTCTGTCCTCATCGTCAGCAGCCAGCGCAAAGTTCCAGTACTGATGGTACCGGTCACAATCTGGTTATATGTCCGTCGTGCCTTTCCTCTGAGTGTAGTGAACCGGCCAGACCCTCTGGTTACACCCAGGTGCCTTATTCTCCCCAGGCCACAATAATCTTGTTTCTCTACTGATTCCGTTGCTTGTTCCCAAAGGGCCTTGACCACATCTGCCTTGTCGCTTATCAATTCACCAGCCAGTGGTGCAGATCTAGCCAATCAGTCTGCCTGTTCATTACTCATTATGCCGGCATGGCCTGAAGAAAAGATCCAAAGTGTGTTTACTACCTGCGACCTTCCCAGAGAAGCTTGCCCTCTGCTCGAAGCATCCCTGTCTTCACCTTTCTCAGCATGCTTTCAGAGTCTGCTACCATTACGACATGTGAATGCATCTTGATCTCTAGCCACCGGAGAGCTGCAGTTACCACCTCCACCTCCATTCTCATGCTAGATGTTGTGATGTCATATGCTAGGCTGTCTTGCACTCAGGCTTTTCCACAGGAACCGAGCAACTGTGGGTTGACTCATTTGCTATGAAGTTTAAACTGCGATTACCTTATCTGATATTTTAAAAGACAACAGTGGGTGCATATATCCACTACAGCCATCCTCCATTGTTAAAGTAGCACTGCCTGTAAAGAAAAATAACGTATAAAGTTTTCTTCTCTGGTCACAGAAAACATTAATCAAGTACATGACAGATGGTATCTTGCTGCGTGAGTCTCTCAGGGAGTCAGACCTGGACAACTACAGTGCAATCATTATGGACGAAGCTCATGAGCGTTCGCTGAATACGGATGTGTTGTTTGGTTTACTTCGCAATGTAAGTTACTGATTACTGTTACATTGCTTCTTGTTTTCTTTCTTTTTTTCTTTCTTTCTTTCTTTCTTTCTTTCTTTCTTTCTTTCTTTCTTTCTTTCTTTCTTTCTTTCTTTCTTTCTTTCTTTCTTTCTTTCTTTCTTTCCTTTCTTTCTCTCTTTGCCATTTCTCTTCTGCCTTTGATAGCACTCTTTTACATTATGGTTTCCTTTCTTGGATCTTGTCTTATTTTTAAATCGAGATACTCCCAATGTGAGTTCAGTGGGGTTTGGGGCAGGGGGCAAGGGAAAATAGACCCATGACCCCTCAACAGACATGTAGTAAGAGTCAACCAGTTGAGAATGTTTCTTTCAAAGTTGGAATGCATCTGCCTGAGAAGTGGGGGAAAAAAAACTGCATACGAATAAGCCAGATCCGTAAAGTGGATATACACCAACAACTCAAGTTCTATAACAAGGCAGTCAGAACTTTCTACCAGAGTTAACAGTCGATGAGCGCTAAGGAGAAGAAGAAGAAATCAGAAGAAGAAGAAGAAGACAGTCTGATGCTAAACTAAGATGCTGTGTCTAACTCAAGCAGAACTGGCTTTGCTGATGATGAGGACCGTTTGAATTCTAGCAAAGTAAAGGTCCCTTTACCACGCCTTTAGGCGTGTAGGGCATATAGAGCTGGTCCTATATTTGTATAGACCAATCGGCACAAGATGGGTGATGTTGTCAGCATCCATCCGGCCACCTTTACTTCCTGGAATTGCACCCGGTACCCACTCAAGGCCGAGTTGACCCGGGAGTCAAAGTTATGTTTGAAAGTTTGTATGGTATGCTCAGCCGAGTTCCTAGCTTTCTGTTTTTCTTCATAACAATAGAATTCTGGCTTTTTCTTCAAGGTTGTGGCCAGGAGGCATGATCTGAAGCTCATTGTAACGTCTGCTACCATGGATGCATCCAAGTTTGCCTTGTTCTTTGGCAACGTTCCTGTCTACACTATTCCTGGCCGAACGTTTCCTGTTGATGTCATGTATGCTAAAAATCCACAGGAGGATTATGTGGATGCAGCGGTCAAGCAGACTTTGCAAGTCCATCTTGGAGGGTTGCCAGGTAATTGTTGATATCACAGGTTTTGTTTAAGCTGGTAGTTTGGACAGGTAGAGCACTGCTCTTCTCATCCGACAGCTTCTGCAGCCTGCTTTGTTCCAAATGTACTGGTGTGACTTTTCTTTTGGAGTAAACAAGGCAAGTCAAGGGATCATGATGCATGTGCAACATATGGTGTCTACAATACTGCCCAGACGTTGTGCTACAGAGAGGATGTATTAAATTCCTTAATTGGGCTCCAAACCTATATTTGTGGAGGACAGAAGCACAACCCCCAACAAGCATATTGTAAAAAAGGCAACTGATTAGAACTTCTGAATTCGGATATGTTAGATTGAAGGGTACAGATATTGCAGCTGTGCTGTAAACCACAACACAGCATACCATAGCCATTTTAAGGGTGAAAGCAAAAGAAATAGACGAGAAAGAGAAGTCAGTGTGGATGTAAGTAAATACCTGCAACTCTTGGAGGAAATATTACCAGCCTAGACCCATTTGAAATGAGAAAGAGAACTCTTGGAGGAAATATTACCAGCCTAGACCCATTTGAGATAAGAAAGAGAATTCTGAAGAGCTATATAAATCCTATCCTGATACATGGAAGTCATAGACAGTTGGATGATTAGTGAAAAATCATTTGGAAGCAGCAGAGATGGGATTTTATAGACAAGTTATGACAGATAAAGAGTAATGAAGATGAAAGAAGCTAATTCACAAAGAGAAAACTGATTGACCAAATCAGGAGACATTCTTTTTGAGGTTGAAAGAGGCAAGGGGCGACAGAGAAAGAAGATGCTGGTCAGTTTAACATAGCATGGAAGATCATCTGTGTCAAAATTGATCGATTTGATTTTGATTTGATTTGATTCAAAAACCGACACCACAGCATTCGGGGCATTTCCATAAGCGCTCCATCCTCATCTTCAGCAGCCAGCGAAGAGTTCAGATTAAATATCAGTCTTGCCTTTCCTCTGAGCTTCGAGCATCTGCCAGAACCTCTTGTCACTCCCCCCTGCATCAATCTCACCAGACTGTGGTGACCCATCTGCTCCTCCGAACTGTACACACTCTCCCACTAACCACGTCTGCCTTATTATGTATCAGTATTCCACCATGTTGTGCAGAGCCAGCCAGTCTGTCCGTCTGTTTATTTCCCAACACACCCATGTGCCCTGGCGAAAAAATCCAGACAATACTCCTCACCCGTGTCCTCCGCAGCGAAGCATGCCACTCTGCACGAAGAATTTATCGAAAATTGATCGAAAGAAAGACAGAAGGTTGTGTTCTTATGTCATGAGGAGGAGATCGCTCAAGTGCATCATGATGGTGGGAAAGTTGGAGAGGAAACAAGGCAGAAGGAGACCGAAAATGAAGATGCTGTACAGTTTGACATCAGAGCATAAAAGATTATTTTTGTCAGAACTGATAAAAAGAAAGACAGAAGGTTGTGGATAGACATGATGAGTACCAACACAACACAGCATGGGCTATAAGGAGAAGGCCCAATTCCATCAGTTTGCATATAAACCCTTACCGGTGTAAGGTAACTATGCAATGGAAACCATCCCACTGTGGAGTTTCTGGAAATGAAAGAGCTGATAAACTAGCTAAGGAAGGTGCAAATGAAGAACAGTCTGATATATCTGTCTTTTATCAACAGAAGAAGAGAATAATCAGACCAAACAGAAGGCCACCAAAACCAGCACAAGAAGATTACCAGAGCAGGTTATTATTCTAGAACAGGACACAATCGACTTCACAGCTACATGTACACAAAATTTTTAATCAACGAATCAGCCATGTGCAGATGTGGACTGGCACCTGAGACAACAGATCATGTCCTCCAAGACTGTCCAAAATACAGCACGTCGAGGGGAAAACCTTTGGCCAAGAGAAACATCGGTGCAAGCCAAACTTTAGCGGGTCGCTGAGTGAATTACAAAAGACAGTGAAGTTCATACTAGAGACAGCATTGCAGATACAGATAATCTATTTAAAGAATGAAAGAAAAAGAAGAAGAAAAAGAAGCATATGAATCGTCTGGTTTTTCATCCGCATTAATTCTGACCTCAATTTCCACAGGTGACATATTAATTTTCATGCCTGGTCAGGAAGATATTGAGGTCACATGTGAGCTTATTTCAGGTAAGATTATTTCTTTGATCTTATTAGAGGGAAGATTTTTGTATTGTAAACTTATTTCAGGTCAGATTTTTTCTTTTATCTTTTTGGAGGGAAGGTTTTTGTTTTGTTAACTTATTTCAGGTCAGATTTTTTGGGGGGAGGAAAGATGTTTGATTTTGTTTTTCAGCCAGCATGTGGGCATTGAGCCAGCATGTGGGCTTTAAGCCAGCCTTTGGGCTTCAAGCCAGCATGTGGGCTTTAAGCCAGCATGTGGGCTTTAAGCCAGCATGTGGGCATTCAGCCAGCATGTGGGCTTCAAGCCAGTATATGGGCCTTCAGCCAGCATGTGGGCTTCAAGCCAGTATATGGGCATTCAGCCAGCATGTGGGCTTCAAGCCAGTATATGGGCGTTCAGCCAGCATGTGGGCTTCAAGCCAGTATATGGGCATTCAGCAAGCATGTGGGCTTCAAGCCAGTATATGGGCATTCAGCCAGCATGTGGACTTTAAGCCAGCATGTGGGCATTCAGCCAGCATATGGGCATTCAGCCAGCATGTGGGCTTCAAGCCAGTATATGGGCATTCAGCCAGCATGTGGACTTTAAGCCAGCATGTGGGCATTCAGCCAGCATATGGGCATTCAGCCAGCATGTGGGCATTAAGCCAGTATATGGGCATTCAGCCAGCATATGGGCATTCAGCCAGCATGTGGGCTTCAAGCCAGTATATGGGCATTCAGCCAGCATGTGGACTTTAAGCCAGCATGTGGGCATTCAGCCAGCATATGGGCGGGCATTCAGCCAGCATATGGATATTCAGTCAGCATGTGGGCTTCAAGCCAGTATATGGACATTCAGCCAGCATATGGACATTCACATCATCTTGTGGACTTTAAGCCAGCATGTTTGCATTCAGCCAGCATGTGAGCATTGACTGCCCCCACATCTGATTTTCCATTGGTTGAAAATAGATTTGTGTAGCTCTCTATTTGTCACTGACAAAAGCATTTCTGTTACACTTCTCCAGGCCTTTTTCTCTTCTCTGAAATTACTTGAAAATTGTCCAGTTGCAACCCGCTTGTGTTGTCTTTGATCTGTTTTTTTTTTTTTTTAGATCTAGAACAATTTCCCCCATCTCCATTTTCTGTTGCATTGTTGGTGATCTGTCTGTGTATGAATGAATCTAGTTGTTACTTTGATAATGTTCTTCTATTTAGTTTAAAGTCATGTGCACAGAAAACTTAAAATCTGTCAGGGCTGTTCCTGACATTGAGACTCATAACTTGGAGGCAAGAACAGTCTATTTGTATAAGTATTTTTATAAGTCATTTTTATAAGTAGATATGGCACAAGATGTGTGTGGTTCTGGATGAGCTAAAGCAGATTGTTAATAACTCTGTCTCTTGTGTACTTAAAAACTGTTTTCTTTTCCTAGAACGGCTTGGTGAACTGGAAGAAGCTCCACCACTAGCTATACTACCAATCTACTCTCAGCTGCCCAGTGACCTGCAAGCAAAGATTTTCCAGAAAGCTCCAGATGGTGTCCGCAAGTGTGTGGTGGCCACAAACATTGCTGAGACGTCACTTACAGGTAATTTGTGGAATTTGAAACTCACTGTCGTCACATCTTAGACCTAACATTGCTGAGACATCACTTACAGGTAATTTCTGGAATTTGAAACTCACTGTCGTCACATCTTAGACCTAACATTGCTGAGACATCACTTACAGGTAATTTGTGGAATTTGAAACTCACTGTCGTCACATCTTAGACCTAACATTGCCAGTGTCCACTGAGAAGGTTACCTCTTCTTCTTCTTTCCCCTTTTTCTCCTCCCTCCCCCCAGCTACTTGTTGTTGGTATCAGTATTAACATTCCTTCTTCTTCCCCTACTATTCCTCATCCTCTTCTTCTTTTTCTTCTTCTTGTGCTCCTCTACTTCTTTTCTTCTTCTCCTCGTCCTCCTGCTTCTTCCTCTTCTCCTTCTTTCTTCTTCCTCTTCTTCTTTCTTCTTCCTCCTTCTACTGCTTCTTCTTTTTCTTCTTTTTCTTCTTCTTCTTCTTCTTCTTCTTCTCATCCTCTTCCTTCTCTTCCTCCTTCATACTCCTAGCCAACTTTCAGTGTGGAGACAGCACATTATCTTTATATGTAATTATATTTTACTCCTCTACCTCTGCAGTTGATGGCATCATGTTTGTGATAGACTCAGGCTACTGCAAGCTGAAAGTTTACAACCCCAAGATTGGTATGGATGCCCTTCAGATATTCCCAATTAGTCAGGTACGATTACTTCTCGATAACTGTAATTCTTTTTATCATTCTTCACTCCTGAACTTCAAGGAAGATATTTATTTTTCCAAAAAAAAAATAATTAGGCATGTTTGTAAATTACCTGGTTGTATTTGTGAACAAACTGGGCGTGTTTGTGAATGAACTAGTTGTAGTAGTGAATTAATTAGGCACTTTTGTTAATTTAATAAGTGTTTAATAATTATCTAGGCTTATTTGTTAATTATTTAGGCACATTTGCTATGAATTAGTCAGGCTGTCCTTCGAACTTCATCCCCATATTATGGTGGCCAAACAAATACCCTAACAGGGCCTCAGTCTTGTTTAAAATGCGGACTTCCTCCGACGAACACATCGCGGCCAAGCTAGGATTACTGTCTGTTGACAGTTTCGAGAAACGCAACAATACACACTATAATAGCTAAATGACGGGGAGTCCACGCGCTCCGACGCAGGTTAGCGATAGTGTTCTTCTGATTAAACTCATCGCTGAGCGTATCCGCGGCGTGGATGGGAGGCTAAACTAGATGGCTGGGACTCACGAGCAGCAGCTACCGCATCTCCTGCAACTTCCTCCAATTTATTTGCTCGTGAGTCCCAGCCATCTAGTTTAGCCCCCAATTTGGGTCGCTACGTGCGGCGAATACTGTTGGCAATGCGGCATAGTCGCAGAAACAGGTCCGCAATTATAGTATCGCTGAGACCCTGTTACAGTATTAGTTCGCCCTCGATAACATTGACCCGTTATAGGGAGGCAATCCTAGTTTTGCCCACAATTTGTTCCTCGGCAGGCACTTTGCAATTTGCATATGACTGAGGCCCTGTTAGGTTATTTGTTTGACCGTCATATTTGTGAATTATCCATGAATTGGTGTGAATTATCTAAGCATATTTGTGAATTAACCAAGTAATTCACATATCATTACCATTACTAACATCCCATTGCTCTTAGCATTTCATTGATGTCTTTCCGTTTTACAGGCTAATGCAAACCAGAGGTCAGGTCGTGCTGGGAGAACAGGACCTGGGTATGTCTTTACAGTGCCAGTTAGAACATGTGTCTATTTACAGTGCCCCTTTAGGCCATTACTGGGCTGTCAGATTCTTTTTCAGCAATCTCTGATCATGCGCTTATTCCATTGGGGGCTTTAAACTGGATTGTCCTACTGGCAGATTAACTATTAGTGTTATTTTTGTTGCTCAGCTGCCCTGTTAACTACATCCCTCTTTGATGCCTGATTGGCCTGTAAAAATTTAAATTTGGCATAAAGCCTTCTCTGCCACTGGCTTGAAAACGGGATCGTTTACTTCTTTTATTCAGTAAAACCTCATTAATGCAGTTTTCCAAAGGACTGAAAAATCAGGAGTTTGTGTGAAAAGACAAATTCCATGTGAGTTAAGTGGTTTACGCATAACACTCAAGGGAAGGGCGAGACGGATATACAGTCAGATAGTTACTGGTTCCACCGGAATCGGAACTCTTCGCTTGCTGCTGAAGATGGGAATGGAGTGCTTATGGGAGTGTCCTGAATGCTGTGATGTTGATTCTCAATTCAGCCTTTGCTGTGAGTCCAAGGTCCTATGTAGTGAAAAGAAGAACAGACCCACTGCCTAACAAAAAGTATGTCGTAAGAGTCGACTTCAAAGGGAGCTTCCTTCAAAGTGGAAGTGCATCTGCCTGAGAGGCAAGGGACCAACAGTCTGCATACAGATGAGTCCGATATGTCAAATGGATGCACACACAATGTTTTGGCTATAACAGGCACCACACCCGTGGTGTGTGCATTCGTTTGACATATTGGACTCATCTGTATGCACGCACAGAACTCAGGTTCTGAAACAGGACTACAGTCCAGAAGTGGGCAAACAACCCCAACTTTTCGCCAGAGTTTACAGCTGGTGAACACGAAGAAAAAGAAGAAAATAATTTGGGGTATCTGGAGACTTGATGACAACTGATCATGTATGTCAGAAAGAGGCAGTTATCATTTCGTGGCCATATTGTGAGAGCAGAAAAACCTAGAACATAAATGTGACAGCTGGAAAGATATGAGGAAAAAGAGATGGTGAAAAATTAAAACCTTTATTGACAGCTTTTTGACACAGGAAGGTGTTAACACTCAAATCAGTAAGTGCTGTTGAAAAGTGGGGAAGCATCGTTGCCTGTGCTAGTTGGCAAGATTTCTTCTTTTATCTTGCTTCTTTTGGCGTAAAGTGTCACAGAGATCAGTAAGATATAGTTTCCTGTCTTTTTCTAGTTGTGTAGCTTGTGTTAATGTCATACTGCCTTTCTGTATTGTCTGTTTTACCCCCTACACCTGTCTCTTTCTTGGTCGACCTCTTGTCCTTGTAACTTGCTGTACACTGTCGTATGGCAGTTTTGTCGTGCACCTTTACTTACGGAATATTTTCACAAATCCCTCAGGTGCTCTGAGACAGGAGTGTTTTGAATGGTGGCTCTCGTTCGTCTAGAGGTCTAACCCTCGGTTCAAACTTTCCATTCAACCTGTCTCAGGGATGAGGTGACTCGAGCTCTGACTCCATAGGGTTATTATGAACACTTGGGTACCTCTCGGCCAGACGTCCTCATCACTATTTTGCCCCCAGACTGGTAACCAACGTAACACAGTCAAACAAGTAAACAACAGCGAATATGACAAGACGTGAATACCTTTCTGACTATGACAATTAATTCACCACAGTGATTTAGCTAAGAACAGCAAGACTGGTGAACTATAGTTTAACTGTATTAAAAACTTCATAACAAGAAAGATCAAAAGTAGCACGAAGAATCAAATGAAAGATTGTTGAATTCTCTAAAGAACAAAGACAGAGAAAGAGTCTTCCTCCTAATCTACGTCTCTTTCCGGTATCATCACAGCTGAGGTGTGGGACAGATTATAAAGGCCCATTTGGAATCAAGCTGCCTTTGAATGTCACTTTGACTTATCTGTTTAGATCTTGTAGCTCCTCAGGATGCCGGAATAGAGTTTCAGACCCCCTCACTTCACAGAACGATTACACAAGAACGATGCGGCTTCTGGAATTGATCAAGGACAATCAACTCGAGATCGGAAGACGTCGACTCTAGTCCCGTCTACCCATTCAGCAACAGCAATTCACCACACGTCAGTTGCTTCTTAGGTGGTGGTAGGTGGAAGCACTCAGTTAGACCACGGACGCTCGTTGGATCTTCAGAAATCCCATGATAAATGGAAAGAGAATAAAGAATCCTGTCTTTTTAACGGTCAAGTGGCAACACAAAAGGAAATCGTCTGCCTCATAGACCGGACCATAGAGAAGTGACCCATAAAAATACAGTCCCCAACTACAGCAGTTGGTGTAAGAATCCTGCTCACGTATGCGGTGAAGTGGTCAGACAATTTATTTTAAATAGGCGTAGAAAATGTGTCCTAACGTGTAAATCGACACTAAAAGCCTAAAAGAATCAATATCAGAGGGAATTATAGGGATTTTTCTTATCTGGACTCCCCCACAACAAACGAACTATATAACTACAGTCGACCTATCCTATATCATAGTTACAATGACGATATTGGGGGTGTTCAGACTGTGGACCTGCCTAATGCGGTAGGTGTGTGGATTCTGTCATGCGACATACACTCTAGCTGCTGGCTGATTTTGTTCCATTCTGACCAGATGAACAAACCATTTGATTCTTTGATGTGCTTTAAAATCACTTACTGGTATTGTGCCAACCGTTATTCTTAGTTCTTCGTTGGTGACTCTCTCTCTTCTCATTTTTCCCTAAACATTTCTCATACATCTCATCTCACATGTTGTGAGTGTGAGTTTATGTTTTCATTGGACTGTCCATGTCTGGCACTGATAGCACAAAGTTGGTACAAACAGCGCATTTGTCAGCTGATTTTTTGTGCACTTATTGATATTTTGGTGCCTCAGAAGTGCCGCCGTTGGGTCAGCAAGACACTTGATGATAACGATCCTTCTTCTGCCTTTCTATCCCCAATGGAGCATAGGCCCTCAACCAACTCACACCAAGTTGTTCTTTTCTTTGCTGTTGCTAGGAGCTCTTCCCATCTTTCTAACTTCATTCTCCAGCTCTCTTCTCCATGTTGTTTTGGCCTCCCTTTATTCCTATGCCCTTGTGGGTTCTAATGCAAAGACATTCTAGTTATGCTGTTCTCCGGTAACATTCCAGGTGCCAATTCTGGAGGTTCCTTGCTGAGAAGAGGTATGTCGACGATCCGGACTCCTTTCGGCTTTCTCCACACCGTGCCACACTTCTTCTACTTGAAAAGCCTTTCCTCATCTTGGTTGGCTGGGTTTTACTTTTTTTTTAAAAACTTATCCATGGTTGGTTGTTTTTTGTGGCTATTGTTTTTACAGGATGAGGTATCCAACCTCAAGCCCAACACTACCCTTAGTCGCCTCTTACGACATGCCTGGTAGGGGCAGTGTCACTATTCTTTGCTTCCCATGAGTGCCCCGGTGATACCAGGCAGATGATAACGATTAACTGTGGATATGTTAATTCACATTGTAAAGTTGATTCCCAGATTATAAGTATTGATCTTTCCTTACAGCCAAGCCTACAGACTGTACACTCAGCGCCAGTACAAAGATGAGCTGTTGGTGACCACGGTGCCGGAGATTCAGAGAACTAACCTGGCCAATGTTGTGCTACTGCTGAAGTCACTCGGAGTTCAGGACTTGCTGCATTTTCATTTTATGGATCCACCACCCGAGGTAAAGTTTTACACCTGAATTATATGAACAGCTTTGTGTGCCTCCATGATCTCCATGGCGAAGTGGTCAAGCCTTTTGCCTCATGCTCTGAAAGCTGTGGGTTCATTCTATAGTTCCTGTGTGGGTTCTGGGGTCCCATTTGGGTGGTGGGGGGAGGAATAGACCCACTGCCTCCTCATATTGTGCGTGTCGTAAAAGTTGCTAATTAAGGGTGTTTTCCCCCTCCGAGTGCGAGAAGCCGACAGTCTGCTAACAAATAAGCCAGATCTGTTGAATGGATGTTGTGGGCCAATTTCAAGTTCTGAAACAAGATGAAAGTCTAGAAGTGGACAAACAACCAGAGCTTTCCACCATTTGCAGTCGGTAAATGCGAAGAGGAAGAAGAAGGCTTGTGTGACCAGCTCTGTGTGCTTCTATGGTCTCCAGGGCAAAGTTTGCCCTCCACTCTGAAAGTTGTGAGTTTGTTTCATGGATGTTTCATTAATTTTATGCGTACAGTTTTTATGGAAAACCTTGGGAACTGTTGCTGGAGCAACAGATTTCATGCTTCTTTGTGATGCTCTCATTTCGCTTTCCTTCGAAAGATATGGGATAACTTGGGGCAATGAAGTTAGTTGATAATTAGATAGTTAGAAAAGTAAATATAAATATAAGGAAAGAAACTGATTTAAAAAAAAAAACCTGTTACTACTGTCTGTTTTACTACTTTTTAGGGGGTGTAGACGGTGTGGGGAGGGGGGGGGGGGAATTGAACCTGAAGATTCAGAACCACCTGGCTAGGGCTGTCGCCATGAACTGTGCAGGTTATGATGTTTAATTTTGTTGAAAACTCCATCACTTTACCTGGGGTCGAACCCGGGTCTCCTGCATAAGAGCCCAATGTTTTAGCCTCACAGAAAGACACTGATATTACTTTATATATACATCAGCTGGTAACCACTTGTGTAGCATGACCATATCTTGAGCCAAAAGGGGGCATCCCAAGCAAGTCATTTTACCTAACACCCCAACCTTACACTCCAACCTTATATGAACTCCACAGACCTTTAGTGTTCACCCCAAGCTATCCCATGCAAATGGCTTTTAAAATAGAAATTGTGTGACGTCATATTTTCCCCATCAGCTGTCAACACATTTAAAGCATTAAAAGTATCTTAACTCTTTGAGTCCCAAGGAACGAATCATACGTTCATAGGTTCCTAACTAGAAACCGGATGAACGCAAGATGTGCCGATTGTATGTCTCTTTTGACTACCCCTTGGGCTTCTGATGCTAAATCTCTTGGGACTCAAAGAGTTTAAGACTTTGCAATCTAATAAGGTCTAAAGATATGACTATAGTAAGTAAAGTAAAGGACCCTTTTCCACGCCTTCAGGAGGATTGGGAGGCCAGGCCTGCATTTTATAGACCAATCGGCACTTGGTGGGCGATGTGGTCAGCATCATGCCGGCTTTACTTCCCAGGACTGTACCGGGTACCCACTCAAAACTGGGTCAGCCTGGGAGCCCAGGTCATTTTTGAAAAGAAGGAAACCAAAAAAAAAAGCCGGGCATTATCAGGACCCAAACCCACAACCTTGCGATCCACATGCGAGCATCTAGCTGCTAAACCGTGGTGGCTCCCTGATACAGCTATATTGCGTATGCTTATTCCTCGATTTTTATGAAGTGGGACAATTGCCCTATTTCTTTGGGGGGGGGGGGGGGGGGTACCGATGGTACAGCCAGGACACCCCTCCCCCCCCCCAAAAAAAAAACTGGACTATCCTGGTGATAATCACCTTACATTTAAGGTTGGGTTGACCTTCAGTCTCTGATCACTGTTAAAAAGTTCATCTTGATCAGGACTTGAACCTATGACTAATGAGCCAGCAAGCCAGATAGCTTCCACTATAAATCACTGACTTCACCCGTACAAGGTGCGTACACAAGACAGAAGTAAACTATCAAGATATTAACTCTCTTCTGATCTCCCTTCAGGACAACATTCTCAACTCCATGTACCAGCTGTGGATCCTGGGAGCACTGGACAACACCGGTGCTCTGACACCCTTGGGCAGAAGCATGGTAGAGTTCCCCTTGGACCCAGCTCTCTCCAAGATGTTGATTGTGTCAGTAGACATGGGATGCAGTGCTGATGTTTTGGTAAGTTGACTGTTTTGTCTGTAGAACTGTGTGTGTTTTGGTAAGTTGACTGTTTTGTCTGTAGAACTGTGTGTGTTTTGGTAAGTTGACTGTTTTGTCTGTAGAACTTTGTGTGTTTTGATAAGTTTATTGTTTTATCTGTAGAACTGTGTGTGTTTTGGAAAGTTGACTGTTTTGTCTGTAGAACTGTGTGTGTTTTGGAAAGTTGACTGTTTTGTCTGTAGAACTTTGTGTGTTTTGATAAGTTTATTGTTTTATCTGAAGAACTGTGTGTGTTTTGGAAAGTTGACTGTTTTATCTGTAGAACTGTGTGTGTTTTGGAAAGTTGACTGTTTTGTCTGTAGAACTGTGTGTGTTTTGGTAAGTTGACTGTTTTGTCTGTAGAACTGTGTGTGTTTTGGTAAGTTGACTGTTTTGTCTGTAGAACTTTGTGTGTTTTGGTAAGTTTATTGTTTTATCTGTAGAACTGTGTGTTTTGGAAAGTTGACTGTTTTGTCTGTAGAACTTTGTGTGTTTTGGTGAGTTGACTGTTTTGTCTGTAGAACTGTGTGTGTTTTGGTGAGTTGACTGTTTTGTCTGTAGAACTGTGTGTGTTTTGGTAAGTTGACTGTTTTGTCTGTAGAACTTTGTGTGTTTTGATAAGTTTATTGTTTTATCTGTAGAACTGTGTGTGTTTTGGAAAGTTGACTGTTTTGTCTGTAGAACTGTGTGTGTTTTGGTGAGTTGACTGTTTTGTCTGTAGAACTTTGTGTGTTTTGATAAGTTTATTTTTTTTATCTGTAGAACTGTGTGTGTTTTGGAAAGTTGACTGTTTTGTCTGTAGAACTGTGTGTGTTTTGGTAAGTTGACTGTTTTGTCTGTAGAACTTTGTGTGTTTTGGTAAGTTGACTGTTTTACCTGTAGAACTGTGTGTGTTTTGGAAAGTTGACTGTTTTGTCTGTAGAACTGTGTGTGTTTTGTTAAGTTGACTGTTTTGTCTGTAGAACTTTGTGTGTTTTGGTAAGTTGACTGTTTTACCTGTAGAACTTTGTGTGTTTTGGAAAGTTGACTGTTTTGTCTGTAGAACTGTGTGTGTTTTGGTAAGTTGACTGTTTTGTCTGTAGAACTGTGTGTGTTTTGGTAAGTTGACTGTTTTGCCTGTAGAAATGTGTGTGTTTTGGTGAGTTGACTGTTTTGTCTGTAGAACTGCATGTTTTGGTAACTTCTTGTTACATTTGGTTTCTATTCTTTGTGACTTTTGCTTCCTGCATGTAACTTGGATAAGCAGTCTATTCAAATTTGAAGGTTCTTTGCTTCTGGCTATTGTTTGCTGGTGCAATTACCTCATAACTGAACTGGAAAGTACATGGTTCCGTTGCCCAGCAACTGAGTTGAGTGCTTGGTGTGTTACTTTGAACTGTTGATTTCATGTGGAATACCTTTTTTTTGTCTGTGTTTTTTGTGTGTGAACTGCTTATTTATAAATTGGCGGTGGTTGATTTGCATCAGAACTGGCAGTGTGCCTTATGCAGTTTGCATATCTAATTGCTAATTGGTTGTGACTGCTGCCTCCATTGACAACCAATTTTCAAATAAGTCAGTGATCAGTATTTTGTGGAGTTTTCACTGGTACAAGAACAGAGCAAGTTTGTGGTGACCTAATTACCATGTAGTTGGAACTGTGACTAGTTAAGTTTAATTTAAATGTTAAAAAGTCCCACTTCCTTTTGATTTTCAGCCCCTGTTGGAGCACAGGCTTTCAACCAAATTACATTAATACATTTTTTAATAAAGACCTCAGTGTTATCTTTAATGAAGAAGTTGGTAGAAAAACACTAGTATGCATCTGTTCCTTTCTGCACTGGCTGCTGAAGATGGGGATATAGCATTTATGAGAGTCACAAGTACTGTGATGTCGGTTTTTAAATCAATTTGACTTTACCTTTCTCTTTTGTGAGCTTTCCAGTCATAGATTATGTTGTGTTGAGCTACCATTGTAAACTAGTCCATCATTGATTGGATTTTGCAGATATAGTTTTCTTTGGGGTAATGAAGCCAGTCTTATGCCAGCCCTCCATAGTTGTCCCCTAGGGCATGCTTGGTAGTTTATGATGTTAGATCTTTGCATCCCTTATAGGCCCCATAAATATATATGTTATACAAGCATCTGTGTATTTTTGCCTGTGCGGTCTGAGTTCTCTTTGCATTGGAGATAATAGAAAGCCTGTCTGAAAGGATATAGTAGCCTGCACACAGAAAGGCTTTACATTATTCAGCATTCCATACTACCTCCTAATTTGAATGTCGACGAAACACACAATTCACAATATTCTGTTTTAATGCAAAAAACTCTTCTTCATGTAACAAACACTTTCTTATTCCGCACTGCGCTCCTTCTAGTTTAACCTAACTCTTAACTAACTGTTTGTTTTGTCCATTACAAGTGATGAAGGCCACACTTTCTTTCATCCGTCATGAAACTTGAGTTAGTTGTCTGTGAGGCCAGATGGCGACATATTAGCCCAGTAGGGGCCTCGGTGGATCTAGGTTGTGAGAGCTGGGAACAGTATTTATAGATATGAGTCTGGAGGCGACTTATACGCCCAGTACAGGCCTTGATGGATCTAGGACAGTGAGGGCAGGGAACAGTACTTGTAGGCATGAGTCCAGTGGTGACTTATAAGCCCAGTAGGCGTCTGCAAAGATCTAGGACAGTGAGGGCAGGGAACAGTACTTGTAGGCATGAGTCTAGTGGTGACTTATAAGCCCAGTAGGCGTCTGCAAAGATCTAGGACAGTGAGGGCAGGGAACAGTACTTGTAGGCATGAGTCCAGTGGTGACTTATAAGCCCAGTAGGCGTCTGCAAGGATCTTGGCCAGTGAGGACAGGGAACAGTACTTGTAGGCATGAGTCCAGTGGCGACTTATACGCCCAGTACAGGCCTTGATGGATCTAGGACAGTGAGGGCAGGGAACAGTACTTGTAGGCATGAGTCTAGTGGTGACTTATAAGCCCAGTAGGGGCCTGCAAAGATCTAGGACAGTGAGAGCAGGGATCAGTATCTGAAGATATGAGTCCAGAGGTGACTTATAAGCCCAGTACAGGCCTTGATGGATCTAGGACAGTGAGGGCAGGGAACAGTACTTGTAGGTATGAGTCCAGTGGTGACTTATAAGCCCAGTAGGGGCCTGCAAAGATCTAGGACAGTGAGAGCAGGGATCAGTATCTGAAGATATGAGTCCAGAGGTGACTTATAAGCCCAGTACAGGCCTTGATGGATCTAGGACAGTGAGGGCAGGGAACAGTACTTGTAGGTATGAGTCCAGTGGTGACTTATAAGCCCAGTAGGGGCCTGCAAAGATCTAGGACAGTGAGGGCAGGGAACAGTACTTGTAGGTATGAGTCCAGTGGTGACTTATAAGCCCAGTAGGCGTCTGCAAAGATCTAGGACAGTGAGGACAGGGAACAGTACTTGTAGGCATGAGTCCAGTGGTGACTTATAAGCCCAGTAGGCGTCTGCAAGGATCTTGGCCAGTGAGGACAGGGAACAGTACTTGTAGGCATGAGTCTAGTGGTGACTTATAAGCCCAGTAGGGGCCTGCAAAGATCTAGGACAGTGAGGGCAGGGAACAGTACTTGTAGGCATGAGTCCAGTGGTGACTTATAAGCCCAGTAGGCGTCTGCAAAGATCTAGGACAGTGAGGGCAGGGAACAGTACTTGTAGGCATGAGTCCAGTGGTGACTTATAAGCCCAGTAGGCGTCTGCAAGGATCTTGGCCAGTGAGGACAGGGAACAGTACTTGTAGGTATGAGTCCAGAGGTGACTTATAAGCCCAGTAGGGACCTGAAAAGATCTAGGACAGTGAGGGCAGGGAACAGTACTTGTAGGCATGAGTCTAGTGGTGACTTATAAGCCCAGTAGGGGCCTGCAAAGATCTAGGACAGTGAGGGCAGGGAACAGTACTTGTAGGCATGAATCCAGTGGTGACTTATAAGCCCAGTAGGCGTCTGCAAGGATCTTGGCCAGTGAGGACAGGGAACAGTACTTGTAGGCATGAGTCCAGTGGTGACTTATAAGCCCAGTAGGCGTCTGCAAGGATCTTGGCCAGTGAGGACAGGGAACAGTATTTGTTATACAGATCTTTCTGGCATGTCTTCGCTGTTCAGCTGCCCCCTTTTTCCTAGATGTCTCGAAATATGCTGCGCCTCTAGTATGGTCTTGTGTAGCAGTCTCTAAAGTGTAAGGGTTTATATTGAAGGCTTTATGTGATACCTTTCATGTGTCTATGAAGCGTTTTTTATGGCCACCATGAGATCGTCTGCTTTCTTCTGTCTCACCATAATAGATTATTTTTGGGAGCTGATGGTCTGGCTAACCAGCATACTCTCATAAGGCGGTCTTCTTATTCCATTTCTTGTAGGTCTGCCATATTCTTCTCTGCCTGTTATTCTCTTCTTCTTATATTTTGTGGTCTCTTTTTGGTTCTTTTGCCATGTGGGTTCAAGAGAAAAAAAAATGAGCAAACGAAACTTTTTCCCAAGGGTCCCAAATGGAGCACGCAGGCCTGTCTTACATTGGGCCCTTCTCATCTTTTATACATCAGTTGTATCTTTATCATGTTGTGCTCTTATAGAAAAATGCAGGAAATGGGTGTAGGATATATAATACAAAGGCAGTGAAGACAAATAAATACATCCCAGTATATAAACATGCATACATGCTGATACTTACGCACTCAGACATGCACACACACAATTCACACTCATAAATCTAAATGCACACACAAACTTTATGCATCCATGTACATGTGCACACTCTCATACATCTACATACACACACACATAATCATACCTACTGCTTTCTGCAAAGGTGATAAATATTTATATATTTTTATATAATAAAAACTCTTTTCATATTGTTGTCTTTACATAACATATTGTTGTCTTTACATAACAGTCTTTACATAACAGTATAAAGGAATGGTATTAAACACAGGTCTCTAAATAGTGTAAGCAGAGAA